TCTTTTTCTTTTTCTCCTCTCCTTCTTTTTATCGGCCGCTCTCTTCCTTTGCTCTTTCGTAGCTAAGTACCACACGCGGAGGGAATGGGAACGCCGGAGCACACGAAGGCGGTAATTAATTGAATTAATTAAAATTGCTCCGTCAGAAAATGATTGTTAGACTTGGAGGGTTTTTATGGAGTTTCGAGGAATTTCAAGGTGTAAAAATGTTCATAATATAACTTGCAATGTAATACATTAAAATGGAATTCGAAATAGGATATTTATAATTTTATATAATTTTGTTGTACATATTATATGAAATAGAATTTGATTCCACTCTTTTAATTGTACGAAGAATCCGTGATTATATAGGTACAACATATGGATTTTCGTTTAAATTTGGTTGGATTTCATTTACAAAGTTAGAGAGCCATCGTCTCATTCAATATTTATAACATAATGTATCTTGTTGCAGAAAAGAATAATTTGTTTCAATAATTTATCTTTCGACTGTTGTGAAATTATAAATATTATTGAATTTAAATTCCCAGTTACAAATACCGATTATAATATTCAGATGTACGTGTGTCAGGGAATCACTGGAACATTCATTCATATCTAATAATTAAAAATTAACAAAAATTCAAATAATACTAACCTAAACCTAATCTTCAAACAGTCGTGTAATTTTAGCTAGCAATAATCATCCAGTAATGCCAGTTGAGAATTAAGAATCAATATCATGTGATATTGTTTCGTGTGTCCAGCTAGTACTCCCTGATTCTACTTAATTCGCGTCTGCACGTTAATACAGTACACGCGTCGTACACAAATAATTCAACTATTCTCACAGTCTTCAGTGTAAAATCCAAATCTCGATCGACAAATATCGTGACTTGTGTTCTTGCACATACAATTCGCACACGATCACTCTTGTGATAAGACAAGACGTCCTTACGTGATACCGTAACGTTCGCTTGGTCTTCGTCGGGAAAATGATCGCGATTACGCGCGAAATCGCGTCGAAGGGATTAGCCACGCTGTTTTCACCGGTGGTAGCCGAGTAATAACACGGCGAACATGCAATTAGGAACCGTCTACGGCAAAACAATATCGGCGCACGGTATCTGCGCTGGGTCCTCATTAGCATAGACCGGCGAATAGAGCAACCATAGAGCCATAAGGGGGAGGTAAGAGGGGGTGCATGCATACACACACACACACACACACACACACACGCATTGATAGCGAGCGAAGAGGAGAAGAGTGGGGAACGGAGGAGGTGGAGAAATAATTAAAGCTCAACGATCGCTATCTAAATAATTAGAAGTTGGCGTGACTCTGCATAAGGCCGCTGTTGTACGCGCCGACTCTCAACTGTCAGATCGTAAGATTCCGCGAGGCCGGCATAATTAGGCGAGAAATATGAACGAGAAATCCGTGGTATTTAAATGCGGCGACGCGCGAGGAAGCGATGTGTCAAAATCGTACCGCGGACGATATTTTCTTCCTTTTTTTCTCTGTTTTTTTCACGATCGCGATATAAACATGTACCTCGTACACTGTCCGTCACTGTGAGTCACTGGCGCGCTTTCGACTATCGTTTCCTTTGCGCAACAACGCGGCTCAGAGTCCGTTGCACGAAACCGTGAAAAATCGCGAGGGAACGTTGCGAAAACGTGGAAACGTAGGATGTAGTCGTTCGCCCTTTATAAATGAAATTACGTTTGTGAGAGAAGAAAATTGTTGGACGATTTTGTCGATTCGTTGGAAACTTGGCCTTTTACATTCTGGCCGCTTTATATTATTTTAATGCGACAACAATCCGTCAGGACAGTACTCAAAAATACATATAGATTGACACATTTTCGTGGAAGAGAGCGCGAGAATCTTTAAATGTTCTTGCTTCGTGCAGTACATTTCCATTTTTACCAGCTTAAACGTACATACAGTAGAACGTTGTCTCATGTGAGTCTTTATTTTTCGAATATCTGGATTGTATCCTATGGATAGAATGTTTGTTAATAATAACTAGAAGCTCATTTGCTACTGATATATATTTTATTTTGGTAATACACCCCTGACAAGAAGATCCTTCGATAAATATTCAAAAACATTGGAATTTTTCGTTTTCAGAAATTGCATTGTAAATGGTCAATTTTTTTTTTATCATCGTGCAATTCAAGCAAACGTAATAGCACTTTTATAAACTTGAGATTGAAGTTTAATTTCAATGTTTTCAAAAATCTTGCGTTTGGTCGAAAGCTTTCCAGGTAACATTAAAATATTCAAAAGAGATAGTGGTTCAAATAAGAAGATTGTACATAAAATTTGTCTTCAAAAATCTTCAAAATGGCACAAGAATATAATAAAAATATCATAGTTAACTTTAAGCGAGATCTAGCCTGATGCTAATCATATGACTGGACGTACACTTAAAAATAAACAGCACATTGTGAAACGCGAATAATCTTCGAATAACCACGGAACTCCGCCAAAATTCTGCAACTTGTGCCTTTTTTGTCTGCAACAAAATTTCATCGATACGTTGGAGACGAAGGATGACCGCGTGCCATCTGATTTCAGGCAATTGGATGCAAATTACGGGAGAATTGTGCTCGAGGCCTGGAAAGGGCCGTAACACGCGGAGAATTCGCGAATAGAGACGGAAGGAACGCAAGTGGGGGGAGGCGACGTGCTTGGCGGCATTGTCAAAGGGTTCCTCGGGGAGGCTCGCGAATCACAGATGCAATCAGATAAAAGGGCGGTTCTCCTCGGATTACTGTATGCGAGCCCCCGCTGTGTCCACGCACCTTAAACCACCGTTCTCACGTGCGGCGACACAAGCGGGGCCCACGTGCTCGAGATACAGTTGAGGCCGACCAACGTGCGGGGTTCCCATGCGTTATCGGGATCAAATTATATAATACACCCTTGACAAGGATTCCACAACCACACGAGGTCTTTGTTAAACGCGACGGTTCTGTACATCCGTTGACTCGATCTTTCTACGGTTGGATCATTTAATTTTGCATCGAGCGTGCTTCTATAAATTGATCAGTGACTCGCGAAATCACGAATTGTATAATTCTTCTTATATCTTCAGATAAAATTATTAACTGAGATATAATGAAATGTGTTGGAAGTTCTTTTTCGTAAACTTCTTTGGTAAGGAAATCATTTACACGAATTAAACGTCATAGAAAGCATTGTAATTTAGACATCTTGTATATTTTTCCATATTACGTGCATTCTAATTTCGCACTTTGAAATTCTCTGTAGTCTGATTACGATTAATAAAATGATAAGTATTAACAAAGTTATATATTATCCTTTGTATTCTAATGTTTTTCAATAACATTTCAAGCAGGATAATTATACTGCAAAATACAAAGGAAAATATTCTGCGAATAATATCCACTTTGCATCATCAAATGCAAAATAATACACAGCCGGCGGTTAATTAAAAATTTTGTATTTATTAACATTGAATATTAACGAACGAATATTAATAACAAGCAAATGATTTAATATTAGTTAGTAAATATTTCACAGGAAAAAATTTCATTGTAAATTACATATGATTTCAATTATTAAGTATATAGCTTTCAACGATAGTAGCTTATCTATATGGTTCAAGATATCATAGTAGCTCATGCAAACGATCATTTCTAAGTTTCATGAATCTTAGAAATTTTCTGATACAATCACTGCTAGAACGTAAATTACAAACTTCTGTTGCATAAAGAGGGTTCTACAATTTTACGTCAATTAGCAGAATCCTGATTTATACAATTGTTAGAAGTAGAAATCCGTTGTTCTATTATGGATCTCCCTTACTGTTACGCAAGAGAATTTGTCGGTACCGTTAATTTATAAAAAAACTTCAAATAATCAGTTCAATTATGCAACAGGTTCTTGATATTATCTTCGGCGCGTAATTATATCGCGTTGCATCAGCATTGTCGTAATTAATTTCATCAGTCACAAAGGTTGCATGCAGAAGCACAATGTCGTAAAGAGACAGAGTTTCCTCCCCCGTCGAAGTTTAACAGTCGAGTTCGAGGCGATTCAGTGATGAAAGTTTCCAGAAAATGTCATCGACGAAGATAAGAAACCTGTTCTCATCGGAGATGGGACAGTCCACGTACGTTCGATTAAACAATCACTGCCGCCGCGTTCATCGCGAACGAATTCGATCACGTCCCGACTCTCGATACCGAGCAACCACTATGATTACGCGAGCCACCTTGATGACGGAACCGAAGTCATGCTAGCTTCGATACAGGCAATCGAAGGCAATCGGAATCCTGTCGATCCGAGCCTGGGATTAATCGGACTTTGTTCCGCGGCAGAGTGCTTATTAAGCCAGATTCTTTATTAAGGCATGCAAATACCAATCGTATTATAAGCCTCTATTAAATATAAACGTGACGTGATCAGTGGCAACGTGTCGACGAGATGTTGTACGTACAGTTAACAGAAATAATCAACGAGATTTAGAGGTAATATTATTTGTTAAGTTATGTTGTATTTATATTTATAAAGGTTTCTATTCAGTCTAATAATTAATTAATTCCTCGCATACTTCTAATTTTAGAAAACGTGAGATAAATATCTTCCGTTGTTGATTAATTAATCAGAAAATAAAATACGTGTCAATATTTACAAAGATCAAGATTGACCATATCGAACGATGATCAGTTATTAATTTTATAATTCGAAGAAGTCTTTAATTAAGAAATAACCCAGTTTGGAGAACAAAATATAGATACAATTTTATGATAAAGTTTTCCTCAATATTCAAAAACTGTCTAGTGTTGAATATGTCTGAAACAAATGAAATTCTCAAGAACTTCTTGCTTGTAAATATTTTATAAACTGAATAACTGGTTTTTATCAATCGAATGATTAATTAATTCTTCAGAGATTCTCCACGTCCATCTATATTATAAAGACGATTTTTAAAAGATATTGATTAATTGAAAAATAGAATGTACGTCGACGGATAATAACAATCATCGTATCTTAGGATTCAAATCAAAGGGACTGTTCGCCGATTTGGGACGAAAGAACACGACCTGAGTGACCGAGTCTAAGTACGATGAGCCACTAGTCTTCATCCTTGGCGGATTTCCGCATTTGTGTGCCTTCAGTTGGTATCGTTCTCCATACTGACGACCGCAGAAATCGCACTTGTACGGTTTCTCGCCGATGTGGCCGTAAATGTGCTTGGCCAGTTTCGTTTTCACGCTGAACCGTGATTTGCAGAGGTCGCACTCGAATCGTTTCACCCCCGTGTGACGATATCTGTGCACTTTCAGGCCCCACGATCGTCTGTAACATTTCCCGCAGTCCTCGCACTTGTACGGCCTCACTCCTACGAAATTAAAATGACGTTTTATTAACTTACAAAATAATGTCGACAGTGATATAAATTTCGAAACTAAATCAAACGTGTCAATTGAATTTTCCGTACTCTAACCACAGTTTCAGCATACGAAGATATTCAATTTATTGACGTAAAACATATTTTCTTTCCGATTTTACGCGAAATTTGAAAAATTGCGAGATATCTATTGCAAACCTAACCTAAACGTAACTCAATAAAAAAGTTAGTGTGTACAGTGCATAATATTTTCTTACCCTTAGCATGTGAAAATTTTGAACTGTTACTTTCCTGTATAAAAAAGTTTGTTTTGGGGTATTTAAATGATCTCACTCAATGCTAAGGGTTAAATATATATATATATATCGTGTTGAGAATAACAATCGTTGACTTTTGCATCTTTCGTTGTGTCAAGTTCATCGTTACATGCTTCGAAATATTTTGAAACAGCATTTTCACCATTTTGAGATATGTTTAGAAATTTCATGTTAATTGCACGTGCATTTGTATCTGCATTTACGCTATAACGGTAATAAAAAGATATTAGGTGATGAATCTATTAGATGAACAATTTCACAAGCGTGTAAGACAAGATATATACAGACAGACCTGATGTAAATATTCTCACAGCTAATTGTGAATGAAATCACGGAAGCAAGGAACGTCTTACGGCGCGAACGAAACTGCCTCTCCTCACGAAGACCGTCC